GCTCAGCGCTACACATTTTCCTCTTGTCACTGAGGTCCTCCATCCACATGACAGAGAGGGGAACACAAAAATGCTTCTCCTCTCTGTCAACGCTCTCTGGTTTCATTTAAAAGAGTCGATCATCAGATATTGTCCAAGATTAACCTTCAGGGTGGATATAGCTCGCTCACACAGAGAACCTACCCACGTCATCATTTACCCAGAATGTTTTGCATGTAAATAAGATGGCTCCGTCCGTGTTAAAATATATTTTTAAACTTTTAGTTTAAAAATTATAAAAACTAAACATCCTGCAGTATTTTTAGTCTTTATTTTACAGGTAAAATATAAGTTTATCAAATAAAGTCTAATGTTACAACTAATCAGGGATCCCTTTAAAAGCCTTTTTTTTTGTAAGTGTGTCAAGTTAAAGGTGAAAACTGGAGGAAGTCATGTGACACCCTGGTTTAGTGTCCGAAAACATCCGGAAACGTWAAAAGGCAGAAACGGCACCCTTTTTGCCCACCATGTGAAACAAACCTAACTGTCCGAAAAGTCACCATTTTTGCTTAGTTAAATCATCGGCCTGAAAGACACAAAAAATAATAATAAACTGTTGCTTACAGTGTGTCAGTGGAACAAAATCAAGTCAAAAAAAAAAAAAAACACAGCCAGAACATGTAACCAATGATTACAACTTTTAGAGAAATGCAGTGGAGTCAAAAGTTTGACTTTTATTGTTAAATGTGTTGGAGTAAAAGTTAAAAATAAAAATCTCAAAACAGTCATCRCATAAATTGACTTTGGTACTGCCCACCTCTGGTCCTAACATCAAGAGAAAACAGAAACCATAAGAAGATGATGTCACTGAAATAACCCAACTSGACTCATCGTTTCAGTTTTATTTGGTAGTTAGGGAAGAAAAGAAAACCTTTATTGCACCGTCCCTTTGTACTGCACACACACTCTGATATTTATATTGCTGCTGATTTTKAAGCACATCCCAATTTCACCACTCCGTGTCACTGCACTATTTACTGGCAATAACGTGATTGACGTTTTCATTAGAAACCACTCGAAGCGATCGCAGTTTGTGTCTAACAACTGCAGCGTGACGCCTGTTTATCTGGGTCACACATTCGGACATTTCTCGATTACAGCTTGACAACTGACTCGAGTTTGGGTTTTTTATTTCGGTGGTTTCAAGACTTATGAAACCACAAGCGGAGCAATCAGAGATGCATTTTTGCTCGGTTAAATCACGGGCCTGGCAGATGTGAGCAAACTGTGCCTGCAGATCACATTAGCAGGTAATCATGGCGCTTGACCTACAATTAGGCAAGAGTTTGTTCATAGAAAGTAGAAAATAAGCGTCTAATAACTTAAATCAAACATTAACATAGCAGTACATTACATTTACAAGCAATGACTTAACATGTGAGCTGATAGCAGCAGCAGTCAGGAATTATCTGGCAACTTTCTCTCTGGAGGAAATTAATCCGACTACAATATCCTCCTCATCTTCTTCTCAGGCACTTTGTTTGGAGTCACAGAGTAATTTATGGTAATGGAGTCATAGAGGCCCAAATTTGACCTGAATGAAGAGAACCAAAAAGTAAATATTCATGAGCTGAGAATTAAAATTCTGAACGAGTTGTGTGCAGACACGTATTATCAGTTGATATGATTAAATCCTGTGAAACAAATCCCTTGAATTTTCTATTTGGACCTCTTTTTTTTTTAGTTCCTGTTGTCTGAACTTTTAGAGGACTTTTCTGTTGTCGTTTATGAAAACATCCATGACTCTGTTGTTTCTCTTTGAAGGTAAAGAGTGGTGGATAGTTCCACAGTGTTTCGTGTCACAGTTCGTCCCTCTCCTCTCCCTCGCAGAGACACGCTGCCCTCTGGCTGTTCATGTAAGGCCTGCAGCCGAGAGTCCACAGCGTGTTGTAGAGAGCATCTGCCATCGATTCACAGGCTGAGGGGAGACAGACACAGTCATGACGTTTGGGTGACTCTCAGCAGTGCATCGTTATATACAAATTATACATTTATTCAAAAATTAGATCCAATCTGACATCTTCTGTTTCAAATATCTATCTTCATGCCATTATACTCTCAACCATGT